GTGCAAGACCACATCGAGAATACGATGCAGTACCCCGAATGCACCATCTACATACTAATTTCAAAATATCAGCATGGGCACGGTTTAAAAGAAAAGGTTCTCCTCCAGTCTTCGCAAGGAGGTGCCCCCGATTGGAGGAGAATTCCACCTAAGAAGCTAGTACAGTACAAAATCTGATAGCCCAGCCTCACTTGGGGGACTTTTTATGATACTTTAACAACAACAACAACAACAACAACAACAACAACCACAACCACAACCACAACCACAACCAAAAAAAAAGAAAAAACTATTAGCCACTATCATCCACTATCATTTCACCATGAATGACATTCCCAGTATACCCCAAAAAGAAACAAATTGCTATCTTCCCCACTTCCCGTGATATTCCCATTATATAATCTCTTATATATATAATATTATATATATATATATGTGGTCCAGTTAAAACATTATAATATATATATATAATACCCATTTCCCACTTCCCACCCTCTGGTAATTTGACATATATAAGGTAAATGGCCCATCTATAGTTGTATCTCTTAAAATGGTGACTTTCCATATAGGTCACCATGTCAAGGTGCCACTGACCACCAGCTGCGCGTCGCAGGCGCGCTCCACATTGGCCAAGCCCGACTGGCTCAGCAACGAGGTGGCACCACGCACCAGGACGTTGTAGCCCGCCTGGCACGAAAATGGCCTGCTCAAACAACACAGCTCAACACTCTGCGTGTTTTTTCCCAGGTTTTACCCTCTGGTTATGCCATGGTATAGATGGCCCATTTATAGATGGTTTACTTATTAAAAATTCTGATTTTCCATGGCTATGTTAAATAACCAGATGGTAACATGTTCAACATGACACCACAGGAACTAGAGTCGTTTTCACCATCATAACCTCGTCGCCTGGTTCTCGGCCAACTTCCCCGCGCTACTCTCAACCAGCCGCCGGCGAAGATCTGCAGCGACCTTGTGTGAGAAGTCCTCCTGTCGAACATGGCTGGAAAATCCCCGGTAAAATGGAGGTTTTAATGAGAAAATCATCGGTAAAATAGTGGAAATGAATGGAAATGACGGATGTCTATGTTAAGTTAGGGGGTAAGGCAGAAAATGTCAGGAAGAGATGCAAAGATCTTTCTGTTGGTTCTCCAACTTCGTCATTTCTATATATTTCTGTCATTTCTGTCCTTCAGCTGCTCCACCAACAAACTCTCCTTGGTCCAGAGATGCCCCAGTTCTGGGGTTGATGTGATTGCAGGGAGAAGTCTGAATAAATTCATCTAAAATCAGAAGATGGTTGAGCAAATAAACGAAGATGCCATCTGGTAAACATACAAAAAGCTATTGAAAATGGCCATTGAAATAGTGGATTTTCCCATTAAAAATTGTGATTTTCCACAGCCATGGGACAGTCCACCAGAGGGTATCCACCGATCCAAATTGATCCAAGTCATCCAAGTCTCTTCCTCGATGTTCAGCCCTGACTTCGCCAGGACCTCTTCGAATTCGTAGCGCGAGCCCTCGAGGATGTACACACCTCTCCTGAAGTGGAAGACCCCGACCCGGATGCCTCTGAAAATGACATTATGTTCACAGGGGGGGTTGGAAAATCCCAACTTTGAATGATAAAATAAATAGATATCTTAATTTTCATGTATAGTTGGCCACCATCAACTCAACATTGGAGGCGTGTCGATCCCTTGTTGGTGGGATTGCCTTTACGCGGGGGCACCCTTGGATTTCCATCGTTCAAGGTGACAGACGATGTTGGATGGTGACATCAGGTGACATGATGACACAATAAACCCCTCAACAAATATTGGAGAAATGTGATAAATAAATGTCAAGATCCCGGTGATATCTGGAAGACTGGTACCCCTGCAACCCATAGTCAAGCTGATATCTGCTGAATTTTCCGCACAAATCACGATTCTTACTTCAAAATATCATATGACCTTGGGAGAAGCTGACATAGACATACGAGACAACAAAATGCGTCCAAGCTTCGTTACATCCATCAAGAACTGCATGCAGACATCTTCCAAAGGAGCACGCTCAAAGTACCTTGGAGATCGCTCAGAGTGGAGTGGTCCGGAGTGGTGTCATTGACAAATCCACAAGTTGATGTCAAAAAGCTGTCAAACAGAACGGGAGGCCACGCAAACACATGAAGATTCACCACAACAAACATTCTGGGATCTCTCTCTTTCAAGATGGTGACCCCCAGTTATCAGTTGGTTTAAAGCCCCCATGAACTATATACTTATATGCCCAAAAACAGTTTTTGGAGTTCTAACACCAACTTAGCGAAGTCTAGTTGGTGGTTAAGTTAAACCTCCACCCTTTTAACTCCTATATCTGTGGCATTCGGTGGTGCTGAAATCCCCCGTTTGTTTTGCGAGTGCAATCGGGGCACTGATCCTCGCTGCAACGCTGCTCCGCTGGCAGATGCAGGTCCGCCACATCAACCTGCCAGGGTCACAAGGGATGGATACTCCCACCATGGTCCCTTGGGAATCCTAAGATGTGCTGAGCTCGAAAATGGGATGATCTCTAGCCAAGAAAAACTCGAAAACCAGGAGGAAAATCTGCCTGGCTCAGGTGAACCAAGAATGACCAGTTCCTCCGGGCCCAAAGCCACCCAGGTCTCCTCCAAGAAATGTTGCAAGGCGACCAAGCGCTGAAGCTGCTCCCTGTCGCATCCCTGCAGGCTCCCTAAAGGTCACCCCAATAGTCTGGGCTTCATGGCCCTGGACTTCAACAGCAATGGTAATTTATAACCAGCCACAATGGGGACGCATAACTAACCATATTGACTGCTTGGTGGTTGACCTACCCCTCTGAAAAATCATGGAGTTCGTCAATGGGGTTCGGATGACATCCCATATATGAAATGGAAAATAACAGCCATGTTCCAAACTACCAACCAGGTGATAGTTGGGTGAGTCTGGAAATGAGATCATTGATATCCTGTTGCTGGAATCTCCATCACAACCCCAGATGAGGCTAAACCCTGGCTGATTAATAGTGGCTTCCACCTAAAAATAGTGGTTTATCACTATAGCATAAAAATAGGTACCCCCTAGCAATTTATATGGTTGGTTTCTTAATCCCGTTGGTATCCAACAAATAGTTTGTCCTCAGACTTATTGATCATCCGTTCTTAAACATGGCCAAATCCCACATAAAATCATGGTTGATATCACATTTATTGTTATTAGTTACAGGGTAAACTAATACAGATGTGTCAAATCGCCCATTTGTAGATTAATTTTCCTAGGGAAACCCGAAGGGTTTTCCACAGCTACGCTAGTTTACCCTAGGCTAATCCTTGGTGGACACTGCCAGATCTCAGCCTCATAGGCCGTAGAGCGGTCCAAAAAGCTGCGGATGGACTGTTCCCAGGAGACCCGCTGGGGCGCTAGGTAGAGGGCTTCACGGTTGGCGCGGGGGCCACTGACCTGGGATTCTAGTGGATTTTACCCATCAAAGATTGGGACTCCACCCACAAAATTGGCATTCAACTGATTCAACCATCAAACATTAGCAATCCCTTCCCCAAAATGGTCATAAAATGTGAGATATAGCAATCAAGAACGGGGGGTTGGCATGATTTAACCATCCTGAAATGGACATGTGCAGCCAACACAGTTACCAAGTAGACCCCTCAAACGGCCCCAAGAATGGATATATAGATCCATTGCTAAAGCAAGTTTCAAATGGGGTCCCTAAAAAACATCCGGGGGGAATACCACAAATATCATGTGTTCTGGCTCAATCAGAATAACTCACCAATAAGATAAAATAAGATAAAACCAAATGACACAAGATGAAATTATATGAAATAAGATGATATATATAAGTTCTAAGACGGAATAAGGACATGTTGTCATGTCACCCTTGCAAAACATAATTCCATAGTCCTGTCGTGGTGGCGCCGTTGTATCTTACCAAGAAGTAGTCGTTATAATTTACCTAGATGTATACCATGATTTGTGAATGAAAAGTATACCTTGGACAGAATGGATATCGTCACCAATAATCATGTGACGCATACTATCAACACCTCGGGCCCTAGCATCAACCTAATTTCTTGCTGAGAATTTGTGGTGGTCTCACAATCCACTGACTCATTATCATTCAAAGCCCAACTGAAGTCTCGCACCATTTTCCGAGTTTAAAACAATATTTTCAACATCACGTTTCATATATATATATATATATGTGTGTGTGTTTGTGTATGTATGTTATGTTATGTTATGTTATGTTATGTTATGTATGTATGTATGTATATCAATCCTGACTCACCAGTGACTCACCAGTTTCCTAGCCATGCCCACCTGGATCCCCATGCTCAAGCGTTGTTGGCGTCTCTCGACCGCCTCCCTGGCTAGTCCTGGGTATAGACCCGGCATCTCGACTTGATGTTTACTATGTTTTTGCATATGTTTATTATGTTTTATCATGTCCCCAGATTCACCAACCCCAGGTGGTTCAAATTAGCGGAGTACCAGTTTGACAGCCATGGCCATGACCCTCACTTTTGGGGGTGACCACTCTACTTCATCCACCAGGGCTGACTAATGCGGGCTTCACATGACCAACCACCATAAAGTCATGCCCCTTCAGAGGTAGATTGTTCCCAGTTAGAGGCACATAGACACTTCATATCCACATTTATAACATCAATTTACCCAATAATGGATATGGATTTCATCAACATCCCAGCAAAAAATGGATCTCAATATTTAGCCCATGATATGCCCATGTTACATCAATTTATGGGCGAAAAAATTAGGGGATTACCGTATTACCGAAGAAAAATCTCTCCTTGAAAAACCTGGCGGATCGCTTCCTCCGTAGGCGCACTGCTCGTTGGACCTGGAGGGGCCCACTCTCAGTGTTTTTTTTTCCGGAAAATCGACGGCTGAAACCATAGGTTTTTACTGTGAAATATGGAGGTTTCAACATGTTAACGGCAATGTCTCATAAAGTGCACCAATTCGTGGATTCTTCAAGTATGTTCTTCGGAATTCACGTGATTTGTTTGGATGCCTCCCCATTTCTTCCGTCATGTGTTTGGTTGACCATGGCACAAAATCCGAGATATCATGAGATATGTCAATTGGAAGTTTGAGATCAACACAAAAACTGCAAACATTCATTGATGTCAACCCTGTTTTGTTCCATTTTCCTGGGCTGATTTAATGGGGATTGTCAATTTGTAGGTACATAGCCACCCTCAGTATCCAATTAATAAATAGCATCCCAATATAAATCATATTGTCCTCAAAGACTTATCCGTTCTCAGGTTAGTAAATATGGCAAATAATGGTAAATACCTTCTAAATACCGTACAAATGATAAACATTTTGAATAAAACAGATCGCCTTAGGTGACCTTCCAACGGCCAGTTTTCATCCCCCAATTTCGCCACAATATGTGACAATATCCCCCCACAGTGGACCAGGAACCAGGCCTTGCAGGGACAAGGGTGCCACAAGGCTCTGTAGCAGCTGCTTGCAGCGCCAAAAAACTGCGCCCACTTCGAGCGCCCGGGGCCTGGCACGGGGTGTTTTCCCCATGCTGGGCGAAGTTTCATCATTCACCAGCCTGAAAATACTTGGAATAAGGCCATTTGCGGGTGATGCCCCAAATGTATGTGTGTATGTGTATGCTAAAGTTATATACATATATATATATCTATCTATCTATCTATCTATCTATCTATCTATCTATCTATCTATCTATCTATCTATCTATCTATCTATCTATCTATCTATCTAATCTATCTATCTATCTATCTATCTATAGAGAGAGAGAGAGACGCAACCATCATTGATCAGGATGAACCCCCTTTTTTGTGACAAGTGGTTCCTGAAATTGCACCCCCCACACACACACACACAAAGCGTGAATGAAAAGGCAGCCGCCAAAAAATGAGCAGATGTTCACAATAGTCATAATGGTAAGCATCATAATCATAGTCATAATCATAAGACAGGGAATGATCATACTATGTGATGCAATGCCATTGAATAGCAATCAAACATCACGATGGTTTCCCACACATGTTGGATCTCTGATGGCCCTCTGCAGTGCCTGTGCTCTCCATCATCAAGCTGCAGATGTTGCGCCCGCGAGCCCATGGCACCATGGATGGTCCCCCCGAGCTTTGGAGGGGAAATGGAAAGCCGTGAAGCCTGATTTGGATAGGGGTCAAAATGGTGGTACAGTTCAGGACCCACAGATGGCTGATCCTTTCTAGTTTTGACTTTAGACTATGAATCTAAATAATTTATGTTGGAAAAGCATGGGTTTTGAAACATGGCTGGCTTGTGAGGCTCTGATTGTCGGGATGTTATCTGGATAGCACCGGTTTCGCGTCTCAACGAGTATAGCCATCAGACTTCTTCTCGGGAGGGTCACCATTTGGCTCAACCTATGCGTTGTAGCTTGATTCGAGTAGATTCAAAACGCCTGAAACTTCAAAAAAAACGAATCGGAGGTGCTTGGTCTTGCTGAAATGTACATATCTACAAGCTCAATGGCGCTGGCGACACTGATAAATTGCTGGTGTTCTGCAACATCTTCGGAGTGATCCTGGCTAGTGATCTACAGTGATCTACATACATGTTGCTTGCGCACGCATTCCAATGTCGTGCACGCATAGCACCCCGGTGTGCTGGGCAAACAAGACTGGCCTCCAGTTGATAGGATATGACAGGCAGTCGCATCAATTTCCTTTAGAAAAAAGATGTCTAGCAGAATAAAAGTGAATACCCTCTGGTAAACTAACGTAACTATGGGAAATCACCATTTTCTAGCTGGGAAAATCCACTATTTTTATGGTCATTTTCAATAGCTATTTTGACATAACCAGAGGGTAAATGATTGATTGATGAATTGATTCATTCATTGATGCCTTCAGTGAGTTTCCCTGGCCTTGCCCCGGCTCGGGCTCGGTGGGCTCGGTGTCCCAACGACGATGCGCTTCGCCATGATCCACGGCATCTTGGGGAAGTCGTAGGGGATCTCCATCTGTTGGAACCTGACGACATCCTCAGAAAATCCGAAAGAATACCCTCTGGTAAACTAACATAGCTATAGAAAATCATCATTTTCTAATAGGTAATTAAATCAACTATAAACGGTATATCCTCAGAAAATCCTTTATACCCTCTGGTAAACATACAAAAAAAACTATGGAAAATCACCATTTTCAATTGGTAAATCCACTATAAATGAAAGGGCCATGCTCAATAGCAAACTGTTAGTTTACCATGCCGGGTAAATCGGTTTCCTGCTGGGGAACTCATCGAACTAGATCTCCTCTGGTAATGAAACATTGCAATGGAAAATCGCCGAACTAACTGAAGGTTGAAATTGCGAAAATCAACGAAAATCATCCATAAACATCTATAAATGGTGGATCTTCTATTGCGACATTAGGGTATCGTGTCATCGATTCTGACATCATTTTGGCGTTTATATTGCAAAAATATGATAAGAACATGCTACAATTTACAATATAGATAATATGGATGTATATTTATGTATGGCGGATATCAATGGATATGAATGTGAATGAACTACGTATATGATCAACCGAAACCAGAGTGTGGCATGTATCTGTTTGTGTTGAGATCCCTCATTCGGGGTTATAGTTATCCTTGCCACAACTGGGCAAACCTTCAACAGGTCACTTCCAGCCTCCTTTCATGTGGTTTGGCATGTTTTGTCATTTTCGGTGGCCTCTCTTGATAGGATTAGAAAAGGATATCTAGGGATTATCTATTCTGATATATTCTGATGTGGCTTCATCCACCTAGTTTCAACAGATTTCATGCCAGCCGTCAGCCGCAGCCTTTCAAGCATGCGGTGGCTTCTCTTCTTGAAGGTGCCAGTGTAGGGCCTGCCATGTCCATCCCCTCCGCTCTTCCCAGGCCATCCCCTCCCTGCAGGCCATGACAGCGAGGGCCGTAACGCTCAGGCGGAGACAGGGCATTCTTCGGCAGCGACATTGGGCCTTGGCTCAGCTCGATGGTGACCTTTCTGAGCCGCTGCTGGCTGCTGGGCACCCAAGAAAACCCAATAGGTCGATGGGATATCATTGCGTAAAATCATCACAAAACGAAAAACGAAAGAGGCAAATGCCAAAACATTCCCAACTGAGGCCACTGTGGAGTGGAGCCTCGTCAAACTGGCACTGCCACACATCTGAGATCGTGGCTGTCTGCTGTATGGTCTCGGCGGTTGGCCCTCTCGGAGGCGTAAAACCAAAACAAAGGGCTCTGGCGTCGGGCTTCATCAAACATGTTCACTTGTTTTCTCACTGTTGGTTTTATTATCGTGTTATGGTCCTGCTGGTTCTTGGATGTTCTTCGTTTTTTTGATGCTACAGTTGTTGTGATGTTGTGCTTGTCGTTTCTGCTGCTGCTGTTGTAGTTGTTGTGGTGGTGGTCGCTCCCGCTGTTGTGTTTGAACCGAGGAATATGTGGCCCCGGTCTGTGAAGTCTGAACTCAAACCATCTATGACTGATCAAGCCTGGAAAATTAATGAAAACCCCTACCAAATGGTTAATGAGCCAGCACAACTTTTGCACTCCCACCATGTTGTACCCCGGCAAACTGGAACTCATAAGCCTAGTGCTAACTTGGGGCGATCCCAATCTGGAGCCAACTTCGGCAGCACAGCAGATCCAGTTCCAACGCATAGTTTCAGCCAATTGGGATTAAGGTCATGATCCCCTTCCCCAATCCAGAAGGAAAAAAAGTATACCGTACAGTATACCCTCTGGTAATTTAACGTAGCTATGGAAAATCACCATTTTTAATGGGAAAAACCACTATAAATGGCCATTTTCAATAGCTATGTTAAATTACCAGAGGGTACCCCTTCAAGCTGACTATGCTGACCTCTTCAGATCTTAAAAATCGAAAAGGACCAGCCATCCTGCCATCAACAAACCTATCCATCAGCCATCCAAGAAGTTATCTTTTCAAATTCTCTCCGTTCTACCGCGTTTGAGCAGCACACAACAGGCGTTTTTTTTGCCGTTTAGAACTCGTCATGCAGCGGCCCCAAGGTTTTGCCTCAGCTGTCGAGCCATGTCGAGCCCATCGCCCAGGTGATGGCAGTTAGGAAAAAGAACACTTGTGCTTATATTATATTATAACTGCCAGTTAGAAACATTCCCAGTTAGTATATAACTGCCAGTTAGTTTATATATTGTGTGCTGTTGGGTTTCCAATTCTTGAAATCGAGGGAACCCAGGGAACCCCACGACCGCTTGTGGACTTCTTCGGGATGGCGTCGTTCAGCTTGTGCGCCAGGTCCTAGGACTAAGAAGGCTTAACCGTTAAGGGCAAATATAAAAAACACTGCAAATCGAAGTACATATAACTATCATTGACTATCATATAACCACATGTAACCGTAGAACCCATTACTATCCTATTTTTTCAACTTCAGATTGCAATGTTTGAGCCAACCGAGGTCCTTGTGCCCTCGCGTCCACGCAAGCTTCGCCTTGCAAGCTTCCCAAGACCGTTCATTTTTCGATATGATGTGTGGGTGATTCTCACATCAGGATCTACCAAAATATATGCACATATAATATGTATATATATATATGTGTGTGTGTGCGTACATATATATATGAATATATATATATATATGTATGTATGTATATGTATGTATATGTATGTATGTATGTATGTAATGTATGTAATGTATGTAATGTATGTAATGTATGTAATGTATGTAATGTATGTAATGTATGTATGTATGTATGTATGTATGTATGTATGTATGTATGTATGTATGTATGTATGTATGTATGTATGTATGTATGTATGTATGTATGTATGCATGTATGTATGTATGTATGTATGCATGCATGCATGCATGCATGCATGGATGGATGGATGGATGGATGTATGTATGTATGTATGCATGTATGTATATAATTATATATATAATTGTATATATATATATATAGAATTAATTAATTAATTATATATATATATATATATGTACATCACTATGATGTACTCGTTTATGTGTATATTACATGTATATAGTCATTATATAGTCCATTTCCTGTGCACACTCTGTTGCTGGATGTTGGCGGACAGTTGGACTTGAGCCTCCCAACCGGATCAGTTCCATCCTCAGGCGGCGAACGTCTTCCACCAACCCAGTCGCATGAACCGATTCTGGACAGTCTTTGTGGCGGAAATGTTGGTAGTTCTCTGGGATTTCCCATCTTTTGAACCATCACAGGGTTTTTGCACAAACGTTCCCTTCAAATTCTGGAAGTGGTCTGGGCATGGATCAATATTGTCAAACCCTCAATGAGTAATACGATCCGGTAACGGGCAATCAAAGATAGCAACGGAAAATCACCCATTTATACGGGATTTTCCAGTGCCACATGTGACTGCCAGAGGGTGCATACTAAAGATCACCGAATTTCTGTGGGCCCAAAACGTGCCACAAAGGGTTGACCCAAAGCCATATGCCCACTATGGTAGTTGGTTTAATCTCCATTATACACCAGTAAATCCTCAGATTTGGTGATTATATTGTTATATCCCAAATACATCCACATACCCCCATTTTGATATATTTTGATTGGAAAGAATCATCGGGAAAGTGCTGGTGAATTTATATTGAATTATATATATATTCTCTTCTATTCCATTGCATCCCCACCCCGATTATCCCCAGTCATGAAATGGTTGGATGAAGATCTATCTTTTCCACATCTTCCCACGAACCCCTTGGCGCCCCCGGCATCGGCCCCCGCGTCCGGCGCCGCGCCGGCGGCCAGTAGCAGATCGACCATGGAGACGTGGCCCTCATAGGCCTCGGAGTCATTCGGATTCTCCGGTGAAAGGCTGTTGGATCAAGATGATCAAGGAAACCATGGTAGGTTCAATATGGTTAAATGGGTGAATGATGGTTTGTCCAGCTAACCATGATGGAAGTTGTCTTAGTAATGGTTTCATCATCTTTCATAGGTGGATTAATGAGTTAATGATGGTTTATCATGGCCAATGGTTTATCAGGATCAATGGATGCAATGTACTGTGCTGGGAAGTTATCATGGCTGTCTTCGCAACAAATTCGTAACAATGGGCTGGTAATTAACTAGTCTTATAGAGATAGTTCCTTCACCCCAGTCATGTGGCATCATACGGGGTTGGTGTGGCATCATATGGTTTTTGCGGACAAATCTATACAATATGTATATATATATGAATATGAATATGTGTGTGTGTGCAACGTATTATGTAATCAGACTAAACGCATTGCCAAGAATAAAACAAGTAAAAATCATCCGTGTAGGATGTATCCAGAGAATCTTATGTGCTTGGAAAGATTTTCAGCATGGTCAGAACCGGATTTGAGGTGAGCACCAGAAAGATTTCCTTGTGGCTTATCCCCCGCCGACATCATAGGAATCATAGGTCATACAGTAGGTTTTGACCAATCTGGGGATCTTGGAGGGAACGACAAATGGAAGGCATCCAGCTCTCTGTCGCACCCGGCTGCCATGTGCAGAGGCTCTGCCCCCTTGTTGTCACCTCAATGGAAGCACCACTTGGATTTGCCACGAGTCGATCTCAACTGGACAAACACGAACACCCCGTCCCCTGACTTTTATATACCCCCCAAATTGGGCCCCCAGAATGAATAGATCCCATACCGAACAAGGTCCAAGAGTCTAGGGAGGTCTTTAATATCCAGTTAAATCTCATTAAATCATACTAAATCCTCATATTTCTGGGACAAACCCACTTCTACAACAGCACAGCCCTGGTTGTTGATCGTTTCCTTGGAACCCCTGGCGAGCAGAAGGGGAGGCCCTCTTGCGCAACAGGAGCTTTGCCTCGCTTGAAAAACGAGGCCAAGGTGTTTTGCCTACAGAGTCCGGAAGAATGTCATGTGGGAAACCTAAGTTTGGGGATGGCTTATACAACCCATTTAGATCAAAAATCCGAGTTACACAATAAAGAAACGACATCATGCCTACTGGCCTACTATAGTGCATTCTACATATTGTATGTACATACCTTCATAAATTTGACACAGCCTATGTCAGCTCAGCTCCCAAGTGCTGCCCAGTAGCCACGGAGCTATGACCTGGCCCAAGTTCAAACACATTTAATGGTTTCAATGGGTGTTGATAGGATTTAATAGGATTTAATGGGATTTAACTTTGGGTTTGATCGGCAAAATGGGGATAAAATGGGGATATCCTCAAAATCAGAATTTTAATCGGGAATATGATGACTACATAATGGATTTAATGGTACCCTATTTTCAGACTGACAAACCTTCCCTCCGGTAGATCAAACATGGTTTGCTGGAAAATCCGCCATTTCTAGATGGCTTTCCCAGCCGCAAACCCCCGTTTATAAGGGATTCACTACCTTATTCTTGATAAATAATGATAATGGTTTGCTGGAGAATCACCCATAAATATGGGGAAATTGTTGGAAAGTATGGGAAAATGCCCTAGAAATCCATGACTTTTCCCAGCGCAGCTGACGCAGCAGCGCCTTTGGTGGCGGCCAGATGCAGTGGCTCCGCCCCACCATCCGTGCGCGCGGTGGCGCTTTTGCGGGTCTCCACCTGGAAAAGGTGGGGTTTCCCCATCTGAGGATTGTGATTTTGGGGATTGGTTTATGGCAGTTTACCAATACCCTCCGGTAAACTAACATAGCTATTGAAAATGGCCATTTATAGTGGATTTTCCCATTAAAAATGGTGGATCTTTCCAGTTCGCTATTTTGACATAACCAGAGGCTATAGGTCTTGGTTTTGAAACTATTCAAATGTCAAGTGAAGCATCTTCAAACATTCTCGGATCGCCGCGATCTGGGGGTATACCCCATAATTTGTGGGGCCTTACATCCCAACTGGGGCTATCCCATCGTGAAACCTATAACCACTATTAATCCATTCTTAAATCCGTTATTTGGCCATAGTTCATAGTGGTTGTAAATATAGGTGTTATAAATATTTATAAATGGGATAATAGTGGCTATAGTGGCCATTATTGACCCATCCTTAAACCAGTATTTAGCCATATTAACCCATATTAACCCATATCAAACCCATCTTAACCATGGTTATCGCCCCTGATTTTCAACCCCAGCGGTCCCAACTGGCGGTTTCTTTCTGGCACCTCCAAGAGCTCTCGGAGCGCCTTTTCGTGGCCTAAAAAACCAGGGCCCGGGTTCAAGATCTGTCCATTTTTGCTGATTGGTGGTATACCTACCCCCTGAAACAGATGAAAGATTATGAAAGTCAGATTGGATCATCATCCCAACTATTGGGGAAAATGAAAAATGTTCCAAACCACCAACCAGTCGGTCTTTCGCAACCCCTTAAAAATATAGAAATTCTGAGTTTTTTTCGTGTAGGACTAAATGATCCTCTTCACTTGTAACAAGTCGATCTCAGAATTGATCACGATTTCTGTGGGATTTTATCAACGCCGATATTTTTGAGCCAAGCTTTTTGGGGGTTACTATAAATGCATCGTAGTGAACTAATATGGAAAAGCAGAAAATTCAAAACCAATGGCACGCCTTCGAAGGCTGCCAAGTGAACCGGCCTGGCACGGTGACACCATCGTTGAGCCAACCATCCCATAATTTAACTGATGAATCTATAGTGCACAAATAGGTTTCAAATATATAATATCTACATCTATATGTGTATATATATATATATACATTATATATATATTTATATCTATATATATATATATCTTCAACGATCTTCTGAGTTTTATCTACTGCAACTATTTTACATGAGTTTAATTGACCTTCATCCCATCCCTGGAAACTCCAGACCAGCACCTGGCACCGTGCCGGTCAGTGGCACTCGCTAAAGCGCGCATCTTTAGCAGTTCCCTGGGCCCCAAATGATGGAAAAGTTGGGCAAAATCGGCATCTTGCTGGTGTTTTTCCATATGCTTTCAACTGGAGACTTACTATGATCATGAAAAATAATCCAATATTATCCACAATCGCTCAATAATCGCAATTTATTACTATTATCATCTATTCTCATCTATTATCATCTAGCAATTTTTAATTTTTCATCTATTAGCAATTGTTCATCTTTCTTGGGATGACCTCAATCCTAAGACACCATGAAATTTTCGGCCCCAATCCGCTCGCTATCATCCCAGCAAACGATCGCCTCACCATGCGTTGGTGCCCTCGGTGAGCAGCCCAATGCAAAGGCCTGGGTGACGGTATCTCAACAGTTTGAAAAAACCATAAAGAACCTGAAGCCAATAGGCTTTCCCTCACAAGTACCTCCGTAGAAAAATCCAGGAATGAAAAAGAATGAATATGAACTGTTAAGATGTTCGGGATGGGGGTAACTGTCCAAGTTTCCAGAGTCACAACCCCAAGGCCCTATGCCCATACCAAATCCAAGGAAGGATTTCATGGCTGCATCTGGCGCTGACCCACCGTGCCCCTGACTGCTTTCCGTCGCGGTCCTGCAGAATGTCAACGGGTACAGTACTTCGTCACAGCTTCACAAGTCTTGGCAAGTCTCCAAGTCTCCCAGAATTAGAACAGAGACTGAACCCCAAGCAGCTACAGCGTGGTCTCAAACACTTTTGTTTCCTCGGAATTGGTCTCAACATCTTGGTTCAATCCAAGTTGACCGTGGTGATGCAAAAACCAATTTGGCTTTGATGGCCATCACATTTGTATGACTCCATCCCTTGCACCCCTTCACGGAGTGTCTCAGCCCCAATTGTGCCGACACGCACCCGTCCTTCACGGTCAGTGCTTCCATTACATCATCCTTCTCCTATCGAGCCAGGGCATCGGTTCACGTCCTCGCCATGTCGGTATGCAAGCATACCTCCAATTGCATGAAGACAAATATACCAGAATACTATGCTCACATCAGGCGCATGCATACCTGCATGTCACATCCTTTTTCCAGGGGCAAAAGTACCTTCTTCAGCACAAATTTGGTTGGTGTTTTATGTGTTTTGCTCACTGATATGTTTTATACCTCTGAAAAACCCTCAGGTTTGAGTTGGGGAGATAATCCCCACACTGAGAGCCACCAGATGTTTTTCTGGCTTCCACTGGCCAAACGTGAGGGACCCAAACATTGTCTCAACAATGATGTATCTCATAAGTGAAAGAAATTGGCTGTAATGTCTGCCCAACGTATAGATGTTTTGAGGATTGAAGAAAGCGCCTTGTAATTTCCAAATGATTATGGGTTTGATTTAAGATGGTTCAACCTGTTTTTTCTTAAGTTTCATCACCCCGGGTGCCTTCAAGGCTTCTTTGAGGCCAGACCTCGGCTGTACCACAAGAAAAACTGCTCGGCAGTGTTTACCCATTGATACCTATTAAGCCGTATAAAGATGTATAAAGCCTACCCGGCCTACCCTTCACAAAAGGTTCCCCCCGGCCTCAGATCCCTTCCTCCGTGCTCCCAGACAGATCGTCTAAGGCGGTGAGCCATGTGACCTGTCCGCATGAGTGGACCATCAGGACGTCCTTGGGGATATTTTTCAAGGATTTCTATGGATTTCTTGCTTTTGTTCGGTGCTTCGTCGGTGGATGTTTGATGATTTTGGGAAAATTCGGAGGAAGGCTTGCTAGATATGACAGATATATGGGTCACAGTTCCTCTCCAAATTCTTGATTCTTCCCTTGTTTCTAAGCGCCTAGACGGGTCCAAAATCTGAAATCACAACATGTTTGAATAGGGCTACCAAATGCGAACCCACACCCACGACATGTACAGCAGCTCCATCAAAGCTCAGGCCTTGGGAAGATGGTCAATGGCACCAATATAGCCAATTCCTGCGGAGAACTCCCCGACCTCACCAGGAAGGCTGCTAGCATATGAGCTTCAGGAAATCAACCCCAAAAGTTGCAACTCATGGATGTTCATTGGGATGGTGATAAACGTTGGATGCTTTTGCATGATTTCTTGGTGTTTATATTTCCCAACACGGTTTAGACAAACCCATGCAGTGACGCACTCACTCGCCCGAGGTTGCTGCATTGCAGGTGCCGTGGCGCCATTGCGACGGCCTAAGCTATCCAACAACTCTTCTGTTTGAGGATTGGCGGCCGGGCCAAATCCACAAACGATTTTGGCTCAGGATGCTGGATGCATTATCGAACGATTTTCATTTTGGATTTAGGACCCTGAGCACGAAACCAGTTTTAAAACCTTTTTCTCTTTCGGATTCTTTGGGGCCAAGCACGTTTCAGAATCGGTCTGCACAACTCAGGACCTGGTTCCATCCCTTCGCCCCTGGGCTCTGCGGCAGGTAAAGGACCTCTCCCGCATCCAACAAACAGGTCTTGATCTCTTTCACCTTCGCGGGCTGCTTCAGTGAGAAACCCAGGTGGGGGAATTCAAGGAGAGACTTGGGTATTCTCGTCGCCTTGCCCTGCAACGAACACCGGGATATTGAACTCCCGACATGAGTTCAGTACAGTACCTTGAGGATTTGATGATTTCACGTGATTTCGCTGGTTGTTTAATTTGGTACCTTCCATATGTTTCCGCACCTTCGCAGCCTTCTGCTTGTCGTGCCACAAGTCGCAAGGCCTGAATGCATGGCATCTGCCCAAGCTGTGTTTTTGGCTTAGCCTGAGGACTCTGCAAGGGAGTTCCCAATAAGGCTTTGGAATTCTGGGTAAGTTCATTCAGAATCCACCAACCTGAAAAGTTCAGCCTGTTTCGGGTACTTACCATACATTCACCCGCATTTCTGGTGACATCGGCCGGTGAGTACCTCCATGTCAGGTACCAGGACACCGCTTTTAATCAGTTTCCACCATCATCTTTCATGAAGAGCTTCAAAAACTATCATGTCTTATTCGCAGCTCCCTTCCTTTCCCCATTTTTTGTTGGGGAAATATGGATACGGCCCCTTTTCCTAACAGCTGCCTCCATCCATTAGGGCCTCGCCTGTGTGCCTTCATCCAATCTTCCGCAGCCTGGCTGTTGATCCTCTTCGGGGAAAACGAGAAAATTTGGAAACCACCTGTACTGTAAATGATTTTTGTAGTAACCCAGGTTTAGTAACTAAGGTTTACTAACATTTACTAACGCCTTATGTAGGATCGTAGTATGACCCCCAATTTAGAATTTGGAATTTTAGCATGAACCTCTTCACTTCAGGGCCACCCAAACGGGCGAAGTCATATTTATTAGGGGGATGTGCCAATGCGGGAAAGCCCTGAACTTCAACCCACCTTGGAGCTTTTGGCCGCTGAAGTTGACCGCCCAAGCGACCACGGCCAGGCGGAATGGGCCGCCAAAACCAAACGCGGCTCATCAGTTGGGCATTGGTCAAAATAGATTCGTTGAAACATGGTACTATAGTAGAACTCGGTCATCAAACGACTCAAAATCTATGCCTCCCACCATGTCTGAGATTTTGACCCATTTGCATTTCTGCATTTCTGCAATGGCCGTGTTTGACCCGCAATGGGCAGCCCGAATTTCTCGGTCACTCACAGACATAGCGATGAGGCCAACGAGGAGCTTCCTGGAAGCTGGAATGGCTATGGGATTAGGTGGTTCATAGACTGCAACGGGCGGTTCCCCACCAGTAATTTCAATAAATCAATGGCAAAAAAACAACTGATAATTGTAGATTGCTACGATATACAGAACTCATATGATGCTTGTATGGGTTGGTAATGAATCGGACTTTCAATGGGGAATGTAATGAAGCTTATATGCAGTATGGCCCCATTTTGAGACATGCTACGCGCTCGCTTCATCCCCGGCAATCTGGTAAAGCCATTAAAGCCTGATTAGTTCATAGATGTTCACAGACAACAGAACAAATGGGAGCAGTTGGTCTGATACAATGTTACAATATGGCTGCGGGTAGGTTTATATATATATATTTATACACCTATAAACACATATATTTTCATAGCTATATTATATACTATATACTATACCTTTCCCATCCTTTCCCAATAAAGGAATGAGGATTTCCCAGGTGAGAATTTTTCCGGAGGGCCGCCCTCGGAAAAACTGAACCAATAACTTAACCAAGCTCAGTGTCATCGAAGTCCAAGTGCTCCAGATCTGTAACCAGCGCTGACGCGTTATCCTGCGTTGAAGGAAAATCCGCGGAAATGGTCCCAAAATGAAGAAAAATCATCCACAGAATGGAAGCTCAAAAATCGTGTGTTCCGTTTCAGATGTGAGAAACATGCAAACCAAACCATACCAAACCACTGGTATTGGGATAGGATGGTTGGCAAGTGCTACCTACTGAGCACATTTTTCTCGCGTTTTAGACCACTCCATTGCGACCCAATAAATCGGCCACGTACAGCACGCACAGTCGGATGATCACAGAATTTCTCGCGCAACTTGTTGACATTACACACCTTGGAAGCAGCTACATATGCCTTACATGCCTCGAAGCCTGCCTCAGCCCAGGAGCATGGATTTGCTAAAGGCTTCCCAAAACATCACGGGCAAAAAAAAACCAATCAATAGATGTCAATAGGCTCCACAAGTGCTGGACCATTGCCATTGTAAACCCACCGATGTCCCACTGCAGGACTCCTTCTGCACCGGGATTGCAACCTCTCCACTGGAGGGATTCGAACCTTAGTGGCCATCCCAAGTAGTCGCTGGACCCTAGGAGGTGGGTTACCCCGGTTGCATGACTTACTAAGCATTGCCACCAGCCATGACATTTCAAATGGGTGGCCTTAAGTGAGCCTTTTCCAACCAAAGGGTCCCACTGATATTGACCGCTTTTGCTGGCTAAGTCTGTGCTTTTGAGGGTTTGAATCACCCTTTAGGTTGTTACAATCACCAGCTCTGCCCTAGGGGTAATCAACTTTCAGATGTTCAAACGGTTGGCTACATCACGTTTTTGTTGATTAAATAACTTGTTATCTTCATCAAATCAGTTGAATTTGAAAAAAAAATGCTGATTTCAATGGCCATCTACTGCTAGGGATCATCACTAGGTGACAACTCACCCCTGCCGCGGGGCCGAACAGCTTCACCGTCATCTTCTTCCGCGTCTCGAGGGACTGGGTTGTCTCTTCCCACACCTGGGGCGACTTTACTTGAAACGTCGGGATGGGAATGCTCCTCGCCCGGCAAAGCAACCACTTGGGTACCCACCCAATTGCTTTAGAATATAGGGCCAGAGCCTGTGTCCCTAAAACATGACTTCCCTTGCACAGCACAAGTGGACTGTGGCAATGCCTCCAGGCCCAACTCCGGGCCCCACTCCCCCCAACCAGGAGGACCTTCGCCAGGGAGGGCAGGGTGATGTTGTCAAGCAACTTCAACTCCTCACAGGATGTGTTTGATGAAAGTCTTTGGAGCCGAAGGTCGGCAAGCATGGGCACCCTCTGGAGGTGGATGACCATCAGTCTTGGCAAAGGATGCCATAAGAAAGACTTAAAGACAGAGACAGAGAGGGAGAGAGAGAGGGCGAAGGGATATTTTTGCACACCCGCAAATGCAGAAAAATGCTTTGTACATCCCTCAGGCAGTGGCAGGTTTTCGCCGGGCTATGCTGGAAATCCAGCAAACACCAGAAAGCCCTGTGGACCCACCTGTCACATCCATGTCACATCCCACAGCCCCCAAGCTCTCCTTGTCCATCTTATCAAAGCAATAGGTCTCATCCCAAATCTGAGACCAAAAATGCCCAGCGAATTCTCCGAGGTTGGCGGCAGGTTTCTTCAGGTCGCACCGCAAGCTGTCCTGCTGCCAACCCCGATTTCTCTCACTGGCAGAAGCTTCATGAAACTCCTGCAAACCTCTTTGAACAAATTATCTTATCCCCCTTAGAGTGACTAAATCATATGGGTCTCTCTAAATAAAGAAATAGAACGCTAAACCAGGAATTCTGGTTGTGATGGGATCATACTAGGATCTTCAAACCCCCTTCCACGACCAGCAACAGGCCATCTTCTCAGCGCCTTGCGCACTTCAAACTCTTTGGGACTCATCTGATGGAAGCTCTGCGTCAGATTCTTCACAGTCTGATCGATCAACGTTGCCACCACATCAGGGGTTTCCCTGAAGCCTTGCACCAAAATCCTCACCTCCGGGGGCAGGTGTGGGGATGCGAGGGGGAAATAACACTTGCTGGTGGATTTCAACATATTTCAACGGTCAAGCAAACTGGAGTTCTGCTTGTGTGTCCGAAACCTTGGGTAATCAAAAACATCTATTTCTCCATAGAAATAGACAATTGAACCGAAGGGCTGCCCTGAAACCTCATGGTGAATCAATAAAGTCAAGTTCAAGTCTATAGTAGTATGGTTTAATCATCAAAAAAACATCATAAATTATGGTTCTCACAAGCCAACTGCATCGGCTCCATTGGTCCATGCCGCGGCAGCCTCCAAAATGTCGACATGGGCAGTGGCAAAGCCAAAGACCACATAGCCCAGCTGATGCTCAGTTCGGAGAATTTGGAAGACCTCAGGCTGTTGGGATAGTCTCTTGGCATGAATCATATGTGGTAAACCCCAAACCATGAAGCCCTACTTGGGGCTGGCTTGTACCAACCCAGTTCTTTGAGAATTGGAACCGTCCAAGTCATTCATATTATGGCTCTGTATGGCTTTGACGTATCATCAAATTTCCTAACCCCATTTGCCCTCTGATAGCCGCTAGCCTAGCCTGGCAACGCCGGGTTTATATCCATTGAGAACGTGACAACCCAAGATATAAATAATAATACATAATACAAAAAAATAATATGATATAATATATTGTATTCAAATTCCCCAGTGTGTCAAGGTTTTTAAGCCCCAAAAATTCAAGTTTTATCGCCAAAACAAAAACGTGTGTTCCACATGCAGTAGATTTCCATAGATTTCCTGGCGGGGGGTCCTAAAATCAAGGCACCATGGATGATCTGGGGGTACCCCTATTTTAGGAAACCTCCATATATATGCATAGTATATAGTGTATAATCCTTACCCCATAATGTTCCCCCCCCCTTGCATCGCCCCAGCCACCGGGCGATCGATGATCCCCGAGATCAGGCTGAAGCGCAAACGATCCGCCAGGGATGGGACGCCAAATTGGTACGAGGTGATGGTGGCGGAGTTGGTGTCCTGGCGCCAACACCTGGAAAATCCCGGGAAAAATGGCATGAGATCCCAGAAAAACCATGGAAAAACCATGGGAAAATGGCATTGAAAGCCGAAATTGTGGTGGATTTAGCATGTGGAAAGGGGTACTCCTGAGAGCCGAGGCGGACGAGAGAAGACAAATTTTGGTTGAAGGCCAAGAAATTCTCCATGAATCTCTTATTGAGGACAAAGAAACATCAGCCAACCCCATCGAAAGTGGCTGGGCGTGGTCTGCAAGCTGGAGACACGCCCAAAAACATTGGGAAGAAGAGGGTGGCTATGTGATGGCTGTCACCTGTCACGTCTCATTGCACAATCTGTGGCTTCGTGAAGCTGAAACTCCCCACCCCTGAAACATCTGAAACAACTAAAACCAGCTCCACCTAATCCCAGTCCTTTGAGATGGGATTGGGCACTCGAACTTCCAAGTCTTTTTCGATCTTCAGCACCAAGGGCCTGGCACCATCCTTTCCAGCGCGCGTAGCACCGCCAAAGAGGAAGCTGTAAAAGCGATCCCAGAGTCCTGCCACGGGCCCAAAGAGGCCGCTGTGTCGTGGCACGCTGAGGATCTGCAATGCTTCGGTGGCGAAGGCGGTCCTCAGACCAGCTTCTCATCACAACCCCCTGGCCCCCGAATGTAATCAGACTCAAACTACTACTGAATCATTGAATAGCCCTGACAAGGGGCCCAAAATCATCAGGTCTTACACCCTCAACCAACGCTTCTGGTGGGCGTTAGTAAACCGTTAGTATGGGATGGTAGCCGTCAAGGAGAGAGAAAAGCTGGATATAAAGAGAGTAGAGCATGTTGAATTTAAAATTCTGCCAGGGATGCAGCACACAATCTAATACAATCAAGTCAATCCCTGCCAAGCCTCGGTTCCCCAGCTCAACCCCCCCGGGCGGTCACCTTCTTTTTCCCTTCAAACTCTTTGTGGTTTGGGTTTGAAACCTGCATCATCTACAAAGCGGTCCGCCCACCTGCCACATACCTGGAACTGAGCAGAAAGGATGGACTGTATGATACCCGCACCCAGAGCAACCTGGCCGCTCCCCGTGCGAAAAGCCGGCTTCAGGGCAGCTCAGAAAAGGTTGGTCTTCTTCATGATGCGGAGGAATTCCTGGGACAACCGAAGACAGCAAGAAACTGCGTCGCGATTTGGATGCCACTCCAGGACCCAAAGATATCGAGGACAATTGGGATCGGCAGGCCACTTGATGGGTGGAAAGGACAAAATACTTGAAGCTTGAGACTGCCAATCAGTTGCTGAAAATAAGGGTGCCTAGTAGAAAAGAAATAAGACCCTATGGTAAGCAAACGTGCTGATTCTTCCTTGGTGATTCTCAACTGCTATGTTGGATTACAGAAGGTACTAGGAAATTACATGACATAAAACCAACTGGATTACATCTGCCCAAGTCCCCGACCACTAGAGCAACCTTCTGCCCTCCGGCCCTCCCGATTGGGTTAGGTCCACAATCCAATTCGCCCCATGATTTCAACGATTCTCACCCAGGCATATTCATTCAGTGAAGCAAAGGTCGCTCCACATGTTTGGAGGACCATCCCACATGACAAGTGAATACTGAACATGGCCGGCCCTTGTTTTCCTGCAGCGACCCCGAACGTCGTGAAGTTCGTTCACACAATGGCTACGTCGCTATGCTTGTCACTTTGCCAGCTAACATGTGTATCCAACCGCTTGGATGTGGATCCCGGCACCAAGTGGAGAGGTATAGTGAATTTAAAAATATACAGATATAGATCAGCTGTAGATATACAGCATGTTTGTGGGCGCATAGATGTAGGAATGCGTATACATACATACATACATACATACATACATACATACATACATACATACATACATACATACATACATACATACATACATACATACATACATACATACATACATACATACATACATACATACATACATACATACATACATACATACATACATACATACATACATACATACATACATACATACATACATACATACATACATACATACATACATACATACATACATACATACATACATACATACATACATACATACATACATACATACATACATACATACAACCATACCATACCATACCATACCATACCATACCATACCATACCATACCATACCATACATACCATACATACCATACATACCATACATACCATACATACCATACATACCATACATACCATACATACCATACATACCATACCATACCATACCATACCATACCATACCATACCATACAATACCATACAATACCATACAATACCATACAATACCATACAATACCATACAATACCATACAATACCATTCCATACAATACCATACAATACCATTCCATACAATACCATACAATACCATACAATACCATACAATACAATACCATACAATACCATACAATACCATACAATACCATACAATACCATACAATACCATACAATACCATACATACCATACATACCATACATACCATACATACCATACATACCATACATACCATACATACCATACATACCATACATACCATACATACCATACATACCATACATACCATA